CTCGATCCAAACACGACCAAACTACGGAACAGAAACCTAAGCCTACGAAATGCCAAATCTACAAATTATAAAAAAATTGTGATTCATTGGGGGCTCTGACCCTGACGGAGCTGGCTTTGACTCTTCTGTCATCAACGGACTCGGCTCTGCTGCCGACTGCTTCCGGAGACTTTGGTGCCTGAGGTGGTTCAGGCTCCTGCGGCGGTGCAGGTGGCTCCGGCTCCTTCAGCGGTGCAGGTGGCTCAGGCTCCTGCGGTGCAGGTTGTTCCGGCTCCTTCGGCGGTGCAGGTGGCTCAGGCTCCTTCGGCGGTGCAGGTGGCTCAGGCTCCTTCAGCGGTGCAGGTGGCTCACGCTCCTGCAGCGGTGCATGCGGCTCCACGTGCAGTGAGTCAGTGAGCGGGCAAACATCAGGAAGACACACCAAAGTCCTTAACCCCCCCGGCCCAGCCCCAAACCCTCAACACTCAACCGAAAAAAATGAGCATCTGCTTGACTCAAAAGGCCGAACATGGTTTCAGTGGTTGAAAAATGACCCGGCACCGGCACCCGAGAACCACCAACCCAGTATATTGCCGCAGGAACGACGCTGCCGATCCTGATGGTCCTAGTCCTAGCTTCCGGGGTAAGTAGCAGGAGGAGGAGCAGGAGCAGTGAGCAGTTACACGATATTACACGGGGAGTTTGTCGGCAAGGCGCTGTGCTAGTTAACTAAGCTGAAGCTCGATCTACCATAAACAAGCTATAAACAAGCTGTGACTACATTAGAGCTACCACGCTGACGCTGTTAGTGTTAGTTAGTTAATCTCAAGCTCAAGCTCGATCTACCATAAATTAGCTATAAACAAGCTGTGACAAGCTGCAGGCCCAATCTGCGCATTACATTAGAGCTACCACGCTGACGCTGTTACTGTTAGATTAATCAGGTCAAGCTCGATCTACCATAAACTAGCTATAGACAAGCTGTGACAAGCTGCAGGCCCAATCAATCTGCGCATTACATTAGAGCTACCACGCTGACGGTCCTCATCCTAATCCTTACTTGATCCTCACCTCATCCTCATCATCCTCATCCAGATTGCAACACCGCGACAAAGTCAAGTGGGAGTTGGTGGAGCTTATCCACACCGCTGGCCACCGGAGCTCTCATTCGAGCGTAGTCAGTGGTCATCGTCGTCGTCCTATGTAGGAGTAAGAGTAAAAGCAAGTGTGGTAGCAGCGGTGGTGGCGGTGGTGGTAGTAGTAGTAGTAGCAGTAGTAGAAGAAGAAGTAGAAGTAGTGGCAGCACGGGCAGGAGTATTAGTGGTGGTGGGAAATGCCCTGACCCCACTGGCGATCACACCCACACCCCTCCTTTTCGTGCAATGCATGTTCTATCATCCATTGTCTCTAAAGTTATATAAAACCTTTGTCTGGCTGAAGTCACCTTTCTTTGTGAAATTTGGCATCAAAAAAGGAAGTCGAACATTGAAGAGCCACCAGCCACCTCACCTCACCAGTGGACTCACCAGCCACCAAATTTCAAAATTGAACTGGCGCTGGATTGACTGGATTAGCCACCGCCGCCGCGGCCGCCGCCTCTTCGTTTTTCTTTTCCGCAGCCGCAGTCTTCTCAAGACTTGGCTGAGGGAGATTTCCATCCTGCAGCCATTGATCAACCGAGGAGTCCGAGGAGACCTGGAAAGTCCGTTAGTTAAGACAGGGCCCCGACGTACGAGCATTGGTGGAGAACCACGGAACCACTAGGCATGTTGAAAGCATAGTTGACGTGGACATGGAGCAACATAACATAACAGAACAGAACGTGACCTAATCTGACTCCAGCCCGCTCCTTCGCTGCTTCAGGTTCGCCTTCAGGTCCTTCAGTCTGCCCAAGCTGCAGGAACGGTTCCCAAAGCCGTTCCCCGCGGTCACATCGTCTTGAAACCCCGACGGCGGTATTGTTGGTGGAACCTCCTTGGGCGGTTCATTCGGAGATTCTCCCGTTCCTGGAGCTTGCGCTTGGTTTTCATCCTCCCTCTCAACCTTCACCGGCACACTGGTCAAAGCATGGTTGTCCGGAGTTGCGCCTACATCACCACGACCAGCTCCAAATACAGCTGCCTCTGTGGAAGGCTTCTGATCGATCTCGAGGTTGGCTTTGTGAAGTTTAGCCTTCATTTGCCACTCAGGGACACTAGGTATATAAAGGAACGGAAAGGAGTCTGAGGATGTCTGAGGTGGGAGTCAGTGGGATGTGGCAGGTGAAAGCTAGGCCTGAGACTGTGCTCTACAGCAAATTCATTGAATTCTGTATGCCTGCAGCAGTTGAAGAAGCAGCTTTGGCCGAGGGGGTGGCCCGCGGTGCCAATACGGATGGGTTCGACGTGGACAAAGAGCATGATGAAATGGTCGCACAAGTGCAGGTCGGGGACTGCTGGTGCTGCGGTTGGGTTTCGGTCGGTTCGGTTGGGGCCCGGGCGGGTAAAACTATTCGAGCATCCTCCTTCCTCCTGCCGCTGCCCTGGGTAGGGTAGGGGTTCTTTTCTAGACCGATACCGAGCTTGAGACTCAGACTTGTTTCACCAGCCAAGCCATAAACAGGCAACCGGACCTGACCTGGACTCTGGACCAGTCCGTAGTCGGTGCCATGTATGAGACCACTACTACTGAGGAAAAATGGAAAAACATTTGACTGTGAGTCAGTGAATCAGTAAGTGAGTGTGCCAAATGCTGTCCTGGTTCATCGCAGTGATGAAGGAAGCTGCCGTCGTTGGGGTGAAGATATTGAGATTGATCCTGCCACTGATCATTGGCCACGGGTCACGGTCACAATATAATAATATAATATACAAATATATATATAAAATTGACATTAATGTATATTATATATATATATTTACAATGTAGAATCTAGAATATATAGATTACAATAATTTATTATAGTCGTGAAGTAGAGCCAGCACAATAGACACCAACTTTGACAAAGGCTCAGGACGAACAATCAACTACAAACATCCTCACAAACTAACCTCACCCGCTCCTTGCCATCAATCCAGTCTCTGATATGGCCTTCTCCACGCAAACGTACCCACATGGGCAGTACACCACGTCTCCGGTCTTCGCATATATCGCACAAAAGCTGGGCATGGAGAATGAGTCTGGCATTTCCTGCTTTACGTCCAACGAAGCGAACATATTGATGGCGTCCTTCAAGCAGCCATTGCACTCAGGGAAGTAGCTCAAAATTTCATCCGTAGCGGCAAAAATTGCGAGTCGTCCTCCTGAAATCTGTATGTGGAGGGTGGAGAGCCCTTGCGAATCCAAACCGGAATAGCACGTATCCATCTTCCGGCCCACCAACCAAACCTGGCCATTGACGGCAAAAGGTGAGTTCACCGAGTCACCCAGAAAAATGTTGAGAAAATAGGCGACAGCATGAGTCGAGCGAAGGTTTGGTATACTTCGTAGGCGGCGTGCGGGGCATGATCTCGTAAACTAAACTAAACTAAACTTAACAAAATAAATTTTCTATCACCCCCTCACACGCACCGCAATACACTTTCCAAACGGGGCACAGACGTGAGCTTCTTGGCTGCGTCTTGCAGCTGAGGGTTCTCTTCGAGGATGTGGTTCCATTGCTGAGAATCCTCACGCAATTCATCCCACTCAGGGCAATTCCTTCTCAAGGCTTCATAGATGAAACCGCTGATACCTGAATCGTCGTCCTTGTCCAGAACGATCCTTCTTGCGCACATGAGCTGGTGGGCTCAACAAACATATACGGGACAAAATCATGCCGAATATGTAGATACAATGAAATGAGTCTCCATTCCTCACAAACATCTGTAAACAGTAAACAGTAAACCTTTCCTTAATCACACACTCCCTGTTCTTCTCTGTGTCTCTCTCTCTCTCTGCAACTGTGGTTTCAACACCTCTGCAAGACTCAACAATCTTTCCAATCAAGCCCAAGGGGCAAGTTCTTGTCCTGGCCATCCTTCAGGCACTTCTCTTTGAACTGGCCAACTGTCCGCTCAAGCACCGCTCGCTTCTCATCGGGCTTCACCAAGTATTTCAGGACATGGCGCCCTCTTCGAACGCAAAATGGATAAGTGGCATCATGCACGCCGGACAACAATTCATTTGCGGGCTCCTTGACAACCCTCATCTCCTTCTTGCCAAGGACCTCCTTGAACTGCTGCAAGATGAGAGGATCAGACATGGTAACCGCCTTCGACAGAGCGGTTCTGCCACCCAAACACTTGGCCATCCTGTTTTCTGAATCACCATCCGCGGCAGCCATTGCCTTTGCATTCAAAGCTTTTCTTGTCTTTTCAGACTTCCGCATTTTGTTGAGGGCACGGCGCAATTTCTTCATATCCATGATGGCCCTTCTCAATGAACCTGCGACCTTCTGACAGGTCTTGAGACATGCTTCGGCATCATCAAAGGAAGACTGGCAATCTTCCTTCAGATGAGTCGCACGGAACATGTGTTGCAGTCTACATCTTCTGACTCTATACCGTATGGCCGTGCTACATATGGTATTAGGTATATAGTATATTACGGTTTACCTGTTTGTGCAATTGCAAGCTTGTCCGTCCCGTGCATTCAGACCCCATTGACAAACACAGCCGTTTCAAATTTCAGCTTCAACACGGTCCTTCGTAACGCTGTCAGAAAACAACTGGTTCACATCCAGGATGTTTGGGAAATAGCTGATGCACAAGCTGCTCACTGCATTCTCCTTGAGATACTCGTCCGCGGACATCAGGCTCGAGAGTGCAAGAGCCAAAGCATCTACCTTTCGGGTCCAGGCCACAGCTCAACAACCGGGCGACAAACTGACAATCATTGACTCTGATATATCAGATTGATTGACATACTTGATGAACGCCATGCCATGAGCATCATCATGCCAAAATTTACTACGCTTATTAATATTACAAGCGTAACAAAAATAACAAAATTAGAAATATAGTCGTCGATGTCGACAGTCGACTCAAACAGGAGCAGGACACCTCTCGCTTGTCGGAGTCAACCTCACAGATATGTTGGCCAGCTTGACCAAGGCATTTTCGTAATTCCTCCAAAGATGGTGCTGCAAGGACCCGGCATGCTTGGAAGCGGGTGTCCACAGTGAAGAGGCATTTCCTTAGACACTCGGAAATTGAGAACCCAGGCCAGGGCCGCAGCCTCCCAAAATCAAGACAGCACTCAGCACTAAGCACAAAGCCTAAGCACACAATGAAATTGGCAAGAACAGGGAACAGTGACTTTGGCCTTTCCAAGATTCATCATTCCTCCTTCATCCTCGACGCCTTCCCATTGAAGAATGTCACTTTGTGTAGCTCCTTTCGTCACGAAACCTCGGACACTATGACAGCTGAGAGAAACACACGAAACAAGCTGGAGCTCCAGTGGATGAGTGAGTCTGGGACCTGACCCGACCCTCTGGTTTTTATACAATGCCCTCCCGGTGCTCAATCAATCAGCTTAGTGGCTCCGAAACTTCTCCAGAAGTTCAGGTTCCTCGTCCTGTTCGTATTTGATGAAAAGAGTCTGGCACTCAGCTAACTGCACCCTCGCCATCTGGATGACAGAGTCGATCTTGACAATGAACTTTGCACGCAGTTGGGTGATGTCCACAAGCTTGCCGCTGGAAGCAGTTGACTGACCGGACTTCCTCTTGTTTTTGGCCTTTGACTTGGCCAGGGTTGTCTCACTTGAGCCACCAGACACGAAATTGGTGATCTCTGCTTGGAAGTCGATCAGCCTACAGGACTGCAAGAACTCGGAGTCGCAGTCATGCGCTACCTCAAAGGTCAGCGATCAGAGGTCACGATCAGTGACAAAAAACTAACAAGACTCAGACAAGTTACAAATACATATATATATATATATGTAACATGTATATATATATATGTATTCAATACTATGAACCTCGCCTCAAAGGTTACAAGCCAAACTTAAAGGGTCGGGTCAGGTCAGGTCAGGTAGCGCTAACAAGATACGAAGGCGGCAACCTTCACTTGCGCCTCCTTGACCTGGGCCTCTGTAGGGTCTTTGGTCTGCTTGAGAAACGAGCTTTCCCTCTCTGCGCGATTCTCATCGAAGTTCTCGCGTCTGAATCCAACATGGACCCATACGTGGGTCCGGTCCTCGTAGGACCCTGATTTTCTGTTGAACACCTGACAGGGCAGGGTGGCAGGGTGGACCAAAAATGAAGGGATGATGATGATGGTGGTACTCGTACTGTACAAGAAGTTGAACTTGAAGTACAGAGCCAGTTGGCCGGTTGGCCCCGCAGTACCCCGCAGAAAAACTATCCAACGAACGGCCGGCCGCGCACCCACCCCACCCTAGCTTTGAACGATTCGACATCATTCGCTCCACTGATGTCAAGAAGCCAGGCCCTTTGGCATTCTGCGTCGCTCAAAGCATCAGCACCCCTCTTGGGGGACCTGACTGCCACGTTGCCCGTGCCCCCAGCTGACTTAGTCTTGCAGCCGCACCCCGGCCCCCCACCAAAATCGACAGATAAAATAAAGATACAGATACGTCAGACACGCCGACACGCACGCTGCCAACATTTGGGGAGTGAGAGGTATACAGTAGAAGTAAGAGTCCCCTGAACAGCTTGGCCCTTATTTGTCGGAGAGAAGTATACAGTAGAAGTAAGAGTCCCCTTAAGAGCTTGGCCCTTATTTGCCGGACAGTCGGACAAACAAGCAAGGACAAAAATCAAAACTCTCTAAAGTGAGGCAATCAGTGTACATCATATATGCACTGTAGGCATTCCAATCCATGGCTTCCCACCCAGCTCCGGTCTTCTGCACCTTTGCGGCTTTTTGGGTCTCCTTGTACCTCACAGTTCGGACATAGACAAACTATGACAAACTGATCTCAGGTCAACATAGACGGAGGTTCCAAACAAACAGGTGGACAATGGACCGGACCTGGTGTGTTACAGGTGTATTGCAAAGGTGGTCAACAACCTTCATGGGAATAGCAAAAGCTGATCTAGTCTAGTCCGGCCAAAGCGACTGGAAGAGGTCAAATTTTGATTTGTGGCTCCGCATTCCGCGCTTCACTTCTGGTACGTGTTCTTCGCGCGATGACATCACACGGCGATATTCAACAACATTGCTGGTGCGCAGAGCTTGAAACCACTGCAAAGCCTGCTTGTCGTCCGTCGATGATGCTATGTTCCTGTGCCTCTTCGAGCACTTGAGGCACAGGTCCTTGAGAGCATGGCTATTGTTGACATCATCGCCTATGGGCTCCTCACAGTTCCTTACCAGCGGCGATGGCAAATCAACCATGCACCCAACTCCACCGAACAATACAGCAACAGGTCAACGGTCAACAGGCTAAACGGTCTACGTGTCACATGTCATCAAATAACCCTTTGCCACAGACTACAGGCAAGCATCACACACTGGCCACCACCGGGGGACGCTGCTACAAGGCTGAGGCCCCCATCGCTGCCCAACAGCCCACACCGCCCCTTGCCATCCCCAGGCTTAGGCGGCATTCAGGTCTGACTGTCAGACCTGTCGAGGCGAGTTATTAATAAGAACACACCAGTCATAACTCACAACCAACAATATCAACAAACAGTCAAAACAGTAACTAACAAACTGAATATGAAACATAAGACTGCGACCTAAAGACAAGGCCAGACTAGAGTGACGGCGTTGGCCTTCAGACAAGTGAGGTTGACAATGAACCATTACATCTTTGGTGAACCCGGGCCTGGCCTTCCTGCCTCGTGGCGGTTGCCAAGGGGTCTGATCTGTATGGCCGAATCCGCAAGCCCGCAGGCAAAGATACACGCACTGCGCACTACAGCGATTTGTCTCCGAGTCATGGGGCGGCAATGATTGATGATTGATGACCAATCGATGATGATGATGATGCATTTTTCTGATTCATCCTTCACAGCGTGACCGTGCACGGCTCTCTGGCTCTCCCACTATTACTAAGGCTCGGCTTGCTCAAAACTTCCGCCCCAACAGAACGGAGCTGCCAAAGTACATCAAAACAAATTAAAGTTAGAAGGTTAACCAGTTTATCGTGTGTTCGGTGTTCGGTCAAATGACAGAGTCCAGTCAAGCCACAAGTCCATCAGTCTAGCGAACAGTCCGAACAGTGTTGAGTTTCTAGTTTCCAACATCTCGATTCACTTGGCAGCTGGCAGGTACATGAAGCCTCCGCCTTCCTGCTCCCTGGTTTTGCATGTCAACAGGTAACAAAGAAACAGTGAACATTGAACTGAACAGAAATGATTTCGTGAAGAAGCTTCAACTTGTTCTAGAAACCACACAATGCTGCTTATGGCTCACACTCAACCTGGGAGATCACGTATGCGAACAGTGTGGAGGCGCAGCTCTGGTTGAAGCTGTTGCCCGCCATTCGCCGCATCGCGGAATATGTGCACTCAGAGAAGTTGATTGGGGGTTTGGTGAAGCCAGCCACAGTGTGGAAACCGAACAGCGGGATGGACTGCGCCAGAAGAAGCTCCTCGCACGAACACGAAACCGGCCATGCCATGGCCATATCTTCCAAAATCCTTCGGAGAAGCAAATAACAGGTACTCTACAATTCGTCTCCACTCTTTCAACTCTGCCATCCGTTCAACCACACAGAACAACCCCAAGCTTGCCTGCGGAATAAAAGGCCTGTCAGCCTTGACGGCATACCTGGGCGAACAGGCGCACAGGCAAGATTATGACGCACACTCGAGCACAGGGCGACAGTGAGTTCAAAAAACGTCCTGACGGCAGCCATGCCGTAGGAATTCTAACATGTCTTGGGTTTCATGCAACTTGGATTTGGAACCTCTCATGAGAAGCTCTCATGACAACAGTTCTTGCACTGCGAATGCGGAGCTAGGCGATTGGTCTTGCTGCCCTAGCGAACTCAACTGCTGAAAGGGTGCATGTGGCTGATGCTGGCCAGAATCGTCGGCATTGTTGTACCAATGTGCTCCTGATGGTCCGGGCATTGGTCTAGGTTGGTGGCAACCTCATGGTATTTCAAAGCTTCCACAACCTTCGGCATAGCGCGCACAATAGATAGGTTGGCTTGAGCTGTAGGTGGCAAAATGTCAACCCATGGGCTTGAAGAGCCTCGCATAGCAATGTTGGCAAGGTACTTCTGGTAATCAGTCACCTGAGATGGACTATGATTGCCACCTTTAGTCAAAACAATCCAACTACTTAAAGTGCCAAGACTTCTACCCTAAGACCCTAAGACGGTAAGACTGAAGAACAATCTGATGTGATGTGTTTGCAAAAAATAGTCATTGTGACTCTGACTGACCTACATAGTTATGGCCTTCACTGGGCCTTCACTTCACATTGTGTATCGTGACCAAGCCACCATGTCATCCGGGGCTTCAAGCCACACACCAGCGTCAAGAGTGCAAGGAACACAAAGCTTGTGGAGCTCACGCAGGCCCTTGGGAAGCTTGAGCTTCCCTTTCAGAAGCAGCACGTCGTAGGAACGTGTGCGGCTTACCGGACACCCAAAATTTGTAGGAGACAGCACAGTGTGGAAGTCCTGGTGGTCTGGCATCAAGTCCTGGAGCAGCTTGTAGTCGAACCTGGCGGTGCACTCGTGGATGACGAGGGAGCACTGAAGGTGCCTTGTCAATGCAATGAAGATCGCACAGAGGATAGCATATTGACCTAGCCACTGCTGGCTTTTACCCATGCTGCTCCAGTCTTTGCAAACGCTGCCAGCAACCATCATCAAAATATCGCCCGGGCCTGCCAACTCCGTCAACTTCACCTGCACAGCAATCTGCAATTGCCATGTATTTGTGTGAACGGAGGCAAAGGTTAGTGACGGACAGGTAGTTAGTCGGCTAGCATTCCCCGTCATTTCCAGTCCAGAAGTCCACCACGCCACACCCAGTACCTTTGTGGTCTGGTCGCCATACCATTTCCGGATGTGCAGTTTGTCCTTTGTGGTCTTCTCTGATCTTCTGTACCGGGTTGGTCGGGTCCCAGGATTTTTAACTATAGAGGTAACACTAAGTATGCAGTGAAGCCAGTGAAGCAAAAAAACATATACCAAATACTAATGCCAGACAATGCGGTGGGAATATAGCAAAATGTTCAACAGCCCAGCCCAGCCCTCAGACTCAGCCTTTCCAAAACCATTTTGGAAGCCACGGGGCCGGAGTCCCCGAAGAAAACTGAGTGTGGAACGCAAACATGCAAACTGCAAGAATATCACATCATTGGCATTGGGTTTGATCAGATCTTTCTATTTTTTGGTTGAAAGCTTATGCTCTCGGTCCGTCACACCGTCTGTCCTCAGTCCAAACCTGAAGCCTGGCGCTGGGATTGCTGGGAACATTGAAGAAATCTGAACCAGTGTGGCCCAGTGGCGGTGGTAGTAGTTAGTAGGTGGCATTTTCATTCTGGACACCACCTTCACATTAAAAACATCTATTCAGTCAAGTCAAGTGTTAGTCAAGTCAAGTCACGTCACGTCCGTTCACTAGCGCCAACGCTGGTAAGCTAGTTCGGGCTAGTTCATGATAATGTGAAAGCCAGCGACGGAGCTGAACAGCCGATCCTCATGACATGATCCTCCTAATCCTCCTACCTCCTGTCTTGGGGCTGCGTTTAATTTGTTACTTAAGTTAGGCTCAAGACTCAAGCCCAAGCTCGATCTACTTTTGACTTGCCAACGACACACTGCAGGGCCCACGCTGCCAATCCGCATTGTCTTCGGATCCCGGAATCCTCTTAACTACCTCCTTCTCCTGAACTCCTGGCCATCAACGAGTCAACGGGACGCGTGTTACATTAGAGCTACTCGACTGCGCTTGCGCTCCCCTGATCCTCTTCATTCCTCATCCTCATCATCCTCATCGTCGTCATCCGATTGCGAAACCGCGACAGTCAAGTGAATGGAATGGTCAGCGGATGATATTTCCAGATCATCGGGGCCAAAGTCCCACAGCCTCGCCTCATCCTCATTCATCCTGCTCTAGTAGGTAGTAGGTCGTAGGTCGTAGGTCGTAGGTGGTAGTAGTAGTAGTAGTAGTCGTAGTGGTAGTGGTAGTCGTAGTAGTAGTGGTAGTAGTAGTAGTAGTAGTAAGTAGTAAGTAGTGGTGGTTGTAGGAAATGACCCGACCTGTGACGGACCTGTGACCTGACCCGCCTGGCCTGCCTGACATGCAGCTAGGGTTGTGGGGTGCACGAAAACAACTTTTGACTTGAAAAAAGGTAACAGACCGACAGACTACAGACCAAGCCTGTGTTCCGTCGACTGTAGGGACCTCCTTCACAATGCTGCCTGGCTTCAGCATCTCATTCACCAGGCCCTTCATCAGATTCGTGCCAATCTTTTTGAGGTCATCTTGCAAGATCCTTGGGCTACTACTCAGCTGCTTGCCCTGTTTGTTTTATATGTTATGGTATGGCAAATGATCTCCAAGTTTGGAACTTGGCTCCAACCAAACCAACCAACCAACCTATATATTCGTACAGAGAGGCTCGGACTCAGAGTGCATAACAAAAGTATGATCCACCATCAGGAATCCAATATCATCCTATCAGACAAGTCTGCTGTGCAATGCTCGTTGGTTCGTCAGCTAGTCGTGTAGTTACACATTACACCTTAAGTTCTAAGTTCGGGTTCGAGTCGAGGTTCGATATCTTCTTGTTGATATCATCGTGGAATTCCGTTCCCTTGGACTTCGAGTTGGACTTAGACTTTGCTGGCGCAGGCTTTTTGCGTTTGCCCTCGGACTGTTTGCTGCGCTGTTTGTCTTTCAACTGAGTCAACTGAGCCTTGAAAGAATCAATGTCCCTCTGGCGTGCACTGCGAAGAGAACCTGCTTTGTCACACATCTTCCTGCACCGGTGGACGCAACCTGGCGATAGAAAATGCAGCAGGTTGTCAACGATGCTCTCTGGAGGATGCTCATGGCTCTGGAGTGTTGAGATGCATTCTGGAGCAACGTCGCAAGCCAGCATGTATCCTTACTGCCACAGCACAAGGTTGATTTAAACTTTAAGGCCAAAGTAAACTTAAACACAAAAAGAGGGAGGCATCGGCATCGGCATCGACCGTTAAACTTAACATTAGACCATCATTATGTAGATGTGCGCAGCCGGGTGGAGGTGGTGATGAGGTTCAAATTCAACATAAACAAACTTGACACACACAGAATTTAAAGCATTATTGACTGCCATAACTTCAAGGCTCGCGGTCTGTTCGGGAGATCGATTCCGTGTTCCTGACATCGCTGACAAATTGCAGCATAGTTCAGCTCCACCATGAGTTCCGCTCCTCCAAGGCCGGAAAATAGACTTACCAGTCTCACCTTTTCCACGTTGTTCCTGAGCTTGAGAAGGTGAGCCACCACATCATTCTGGTGCATGTTCAGGAGTGTATCAAGGTTTCTGATGTTGAGCCCAATGATGTCCTCTATTGATCGCACACCTTGCTGTGTTTGCGATGAGTCAATGACCTCCTAGCAGGAGAGCAGGACAGGCCCTGAAATCCACACTGTTGCTCCTGCTACTGAACACTGAACAGTACACAACAAGAAACATAATAGTACATCAGCAGCCAGCAGCCCTCCACCCGACCCCCCTCGTCCTCCTCCACATAAGTATCAGCTTCAATGACAACAGGCAACACAGGCGTAGGACGAGGCGCTCGCTCTCCTTGGCACTCTCTTCACACGAGGATTGATCAGAGCTGGTGCTGGAGCGGGATTCAGAGCCAGAGCTGTGCAGCTCACGTGCCTCGTCTTCAGCAGCACCCGGACCCACAGTCAGATCCTGCTGCCCCTTGCTGTTCCGAAGCCGGCTCTTGGCCTTGGCCTTGGCCTTGGACTTCGGCTTCAGCGCCTTTTTGGCTTTGGCCTTGGCTGCCTTCTTCGCCTTGGCCTTACCAGACGGCCTAGGCCTGGGTTTGGGCGCAGCTCTGGATGATGATGCCGATGCGTCTACACCCTCGGGCGACTCAGCCTCGTCAAGGCCACCAGTCTGGACGCATCCAGTCAGACCATCAAACAGGTCCCCAAAGTGCTCATCCTGATCCTGCAAGTCAGACGGGCCACCGCGAGGAGGACGTTTTCCCTTTATCTTCGAAGCCGAAGCCGCCTTGGCTTTGGGCTTGCCCTTGGGCCTGGTCCGCGCCGCACGATCGGATTTCGGCTTCGGCGTGGCAACTGAAGGACGTCGCTTGGGCGACCTTGGAAGTGCCAAATGGTTCTTGCAGATGGTCAAACACCCGTCACTGGTTCTGGAAAGAACCTTCTGACAGACTCCTACGAAAAACATAACAAACCGTTTTCGGGTGGTCAAACAATCCTTCCTTGAAAATTGAAAGTAATTGAATCTGAATCTGAATGACGCTTTCTTCATCGCACATTTCATCACTCCCATAGCTCTGGCCATGACGCAAAAAGCACACCTAATGCCAATGCCAGGGCCAATCTCAATATGTTGGCCAAATCCTATATGTCGATGTATATATATATATACACCGGTATATATTAGGTATGTATGGTCCTGTATGGTATCAGATATCATATATGTTTGGTGATGAGCTGGTTTGTGGTCAATGAAGTAGACCCGAACCCAAACAAATCTACCAATTGAATGTCTGGTGTCTCTGCACGCTGCACACGCAGCCTTGGCAATCCATCCACCTCCTGGGAGGCTGCGACGCCATAGATTCTGAGGGCAAGGTCACCATAACCAAGTCGATCTGAATGCTGCAAAGGTCTCTTCAGCCTATGTGGATGATGGTGGGCCACCCTGAAGACAACTAAGTCTGGGCGTTCAGCAGCGGATGTACCAGGCCTCCAGCCAGCATCAACTTCGGCGCTGGGCACATGTCTGACCCGGCCAACATCACCAACACTATCTTCTTCAATGGAAGTCCACTTCAAGCAAGACCCAGACCGGGAATCATGCATTCTCACCTGTCAAGATTTAGGAGCGGGGCTAGGGTTCCGGGCCCCGACATTAAAAACCATTAGCCAGGCTCCTAAACCCTAAGCCCTAAAATTTTTAGGGTTTAGGGTTTAGGATCGGGGCTCGCGTTTTTAGGGTTTAGGAGCGGGGCTCGCGTTTTTAGGGTTTAGGGTTTA